TTTTACACATGCAATAGATTGAAAACTTGCATTATAAAGAATAAATGTTTAATTTGGTTTCCTGCTTGGAGATTCTGCTCCATGATTGGTTTGCCTGTAATATGTCTGGTACATAATAGTTGCTCAGTAACTATTTGTTGATTGGCAAATAGGTCATAGAAAAAGAGTTCCTGATTTTAATCAACTAAAAGTTAAAATGCAGATACTAACTTCTGTATTTAAGTCAACAAATGTTCATTACTGTGATTGTCCACTTGACTTGTAAGGGACCTCCTGGAGAGTTGATTGGGTCCTGGAGTGCCACAGTTATCAGAAGGTTATCAACACTATTCCTAGTTGCACAGGCTGTCTGGAGGCTGTAGGTCCTGGGGATACCTCTGGGAGGGCATCTCTCCTAGTGCTCTGCTTCGGGCTCCTTCATGTGATCAGCTTTGCTCTCACACACCCTGTGGCCACCACATGCCTGCCCTGGAACCCCCGATCATGGACCAAAACCTCTGGAGTTGGGAGCCAAATGTACCATGTTCACCTTTATGCTGTGTGTACCAGGCGTTTTGTCCCAACTAGCCAACCAACACAGAAAATTGGTACCAAAAGCTGGTCATTGCTCTGACTGTACCTGACCACGTGGTTCAGTAGCTTTTAGAACTAATTGGTTTGTGGGAGTAGTTTGGAGAAATTTAGAGAATTAAGCTGGAGAAATCCTAGAATGCCGTAAGCAGAGTTTGATGACTGATTCTGCTTGGGGCTGAGTGTCGATAGGAATGTAAGAGTAAGTGCCAGGCTCATGGGTTTCAGTTGGGAATGGAGATTCTGAATAAAGGCCATGTGTGTTACATTCGAGAGAAACATTTTGTCTATGCTTTCCTTGTATCTAGGACTCTGTGTGTGGCTGAATTTAAAGTGGCAGACTAATCGATGTGGCGGAGGAAATGTCAAATCATTTAGATGTTCAGGTCATTTGCAAGGCTTCTTTTAGCCACATTTATTCTGAGAATCAGTAGCAAGGAGCAGAGCAAGAAGATTTGAGATACATATTAGTCACAAAAAAAAATGTGTAAAGTTAGGACCAAAGGAGGTGAAGTAGGTGAACAGATTAGAACCATTAAAAAGAAACTGAAAAGTTTTTATCAGGGCAAACAAACAGACTGTGTGGAGCTCCTGAGAACCAGTAAAACTCCACTGATTAGAAGAACAGGGGTGTAAATTTGAGAAGAAGCATGGCTTAGGTCCTCTAGAAGGGCCGTTTGAGATTCGTCACTGTGCTCAGCTGTTCAGACACTATAGCTGCAGTCCACTGGGGTGTGGTTACTGCACGCACTGGTGGCTGACCTTGGCATTGTCCGCATGGTGCTGCTGTTTTTGGCATACAGAATTTAAGAGCTATGGAATCATGGAAGCCTCAACCCGTGTTTTGGAAGGAGGCCTGGAAGGCTATATGCCCCTAAGGGAGATGTGTAGAACTGTAGGAATAAAAGCAAAGGCATAGTGGAGACCTCAAGAAGTCAGAGATAGTAGGAATGTTAGATTGTCTTTATAGAAAGTAGTAGGTGCTGAGTGGAGCCAACCTGAAAGAGAGAAGCACTGTGGGTTTCATCCGGTGTGACCATAAGGGCAGGGCCACCCGAGCCCTGTGGAACTCACAGCTCACCACTGCGTGCCCTCAGTGCCACACGTGGAACTATAAAATTTGGTGTTTGTCCTTTCTGGGTTTTGGTCTTTAGGAATTATGACCATGTTAATATATTTATTTGGAGATTAAATTTGGTTGCAGATATGACTAGGTGACAAGTTGACAAGGGTTGGACTTGTGCCAATTAATCTTAATTGTCGATTTGAGTGCTTTAAGAGATTCTTGAACAGATGGTTCAATCATGAGGGTGCTAGTGATTTTCATAGTGAATGTGCAGCTAAGAGGTAAGGCCCCCTTGCAGGAGTTGGGTCACCAGAGCATCTCTTGAGGGGTGTCTCTGGCACATTTCCCCTGTAAGCTCCTTCTTGACCTCTATAAAGTATACACCAAGCCAGCCATGACCTGACGTCTCTGAAACATTCATGCCATTTCTTCCTTTAAGTTGTTTACGTCAGGCATTTGGTCCCTGTAGTTCCAGTACAGCTGAGGAGCTAATTATTACAGATACCATGTGTTGGTATGCTTACATCGATGGCAGATACAAGCATAAGAGAGACTTCCTGTTATTCTAATTTTGAGTATTAGTATTAAATACCCAAGGAATCTTCTATTTTTTTTAGACTCAAATGCACTTGCAAATGCTTTATCCTTCCAATCTGTGTGAAATTGCACTATTTTTGCCCAACTTTTAACATTTACCAGCATGTCGTGATCTTGTTTTCTCACTTCTTCCCACTCCTTTCTGTTTAGTTTAGGTGGCATTTCTGGTGACAGGCTTTCACAGTTAAATATTTCAGAAACTCTTAATAACTAGAAAATCTTCCATGAAATCGCACATTCCAGTAGCCTCAAGCATAGGAAGATTGTTGCATGTTATTAATATATTTTATCAGATCTGTAACCAGCTAAGGAGAAAGTAACTTAAAAATTACTTAAAATATATTTTATAACATTGCTTCTGGAATCTAAACAAATTATAACTGATTCTTGATAGT